TTTGTATTTTTAATTTAAATGAAGGCCAAATGATAGCCTCATATGCTATGTAAAAGTTTTATAGGCTGGGTATGGTGGGTCATGCCTGTAATTCTAGCACTCTGGGAGGCAAAAGCAGGTGGTTTGTTTGAGCTCAGGAGTTCGAAACCAGCCTGACCAAGAGTGAGACCCTGTCTCTATTAAAAATAGAAAAACTAGCTGGGTGTCATGGCGGATGCCTGTAGTCCCAGCTACTTAGGAGGCTGAGGCAAGAGGACTGCTTGAACCGAAGAGTTTGAGGTTGCTGTGAACTATCATGATGCCACAGCACTCTACCCAGGGTGACAGTCAGACTTTGCCTCAAAAAAAAAGAAAAGAAAAACAAAAAAATAGTAGTTCAAGTAGAACAAAAGTAGTGGGAGAGTGTATTCATTCAACTAAGTTTTTTTTTTTTTTTTTTTTTTTTTTTTTTTGAGACAGAGCTCCAAGCTGTCCCCCTGGGTAGAGTGCTGTGGCTTCACAGCTCACAGCAACCTCCAACTCCTGGGCTCAAGCAAGTCTCCTGCCTCCGCCTCCCAAGTAGCTGGGACCACAGGCATCCACCACAACACCCGGCTATTCTTTGGTTGCAGCCATCATTGTTGTTTGGCGGGTCCAGGCTGAATTCGAACTGGCCACCTTAGGTGTATACGGCTGGCGCCTTAGCCACTTGAGCCACAGGCGCCGAGCCCATTCAACCAAGTTTTAAAAATATTATGGTAAAATACATATAACACAGAATCAACCATTTTAACTATTTTCAAGTATACAGTTTAGTGGCATTAAATACATTCACACTATCGTGCAACCATCACCACTATCCATGTCAGAACTTTTTTCCCCCAAGTGAAACTCTGTACCCATTAAGCACTAACTCCCCACTCTCCTTCCCATTAGCAACTGCCAAACACTATACTACTTAATATTTCCACGAATCTGAGTATTCTAGCTGTCTCACATAGGTGGAATCATTCAATATGTGTCCTTTTGTGATTGGCTTATTTCACTTAGCATGATGTCCTCCAGGTCAATCCATATTATATAGCATGTGCAGAATCTCCTTCTTTTTTAAGGGTGAACAATTCCACTGTGTGTTTACATCTACATATACACATAGAAGGTGCCAAAAAATTTATACACATTTTAAAAAAGGAAAACATTATAGTAAAATTGTAATACTGAAGGGGAGTATTATTAACAAGAGGGTTCTACCCAGTTATCAGTGATATCCCCATGAAAACTAGCATTTGAGTTTTAGAAAAGTTCAAGATCTAATTTTTCTGAAATGGCAAACAATACCTTGAAGTTACTGATACCATCTTATACAACACACTTATATGAACAGGCTGAGAAACCCTGCATTAGAGTAATATTATTTTGAATTTATTGATTTAGTAGTTTTGTTTACATTTAATTTATAAAAATATTTGATTTTATATTTGTTTAAGACCAATATGCTTGAGTTTATACCTAGCTTATTATGTGTATAGTCCATATTATAATAAAAATAATTTTCATCATTAACAAACTGTGATATATGTATACTATAGAATACTATTCAGCCATAAAAAAATGGTGACTTTACATCTTCAGTATTAACCTGGATGGAGTTAAAATACATTCTTCTTACTAAAGTATCATAAGAATGGAAAAACAGGCTCAGCACCTGTGGCTCAAGTGGCTAAGGCACCAGCCACATACACCTAAGGTGGCAGGTTTGAATCCAGCCTGGGCC